AAATTTATCAGTTAAACTTTTATGCAAAATTTTTCACTTACCTCCAGATATCTTTTGTTAGCTACCACATTAGGTTACCAGAGCTGTAAGATTTCATACCTAAAATAAGGAATTTGTATTGATTATTTATTACCAAGCATTCTAAAAATAAGCAACCATTTAAAAAATTAATTAAAAACAATTGGATGAATCAGAAATACTGCATACTGCTTATGAAACCAGATAACTTATTGTCCCCAAGCTTAAAAATCAGTTGCGAATTTCGTCAACAGATGGCACTGTTTACTGCAAAATGTATGAAAAAAAGTATGAAAAATGTTTTTAAAACTGGCACTATTTGAAGCAACAATGTAGTGCAGTCTGAGAAAAAATTAACAAACACCAGTGCAATTATTTTAGGTAGAATGGTCTAATATGTAACAGAAAACAATGTTTGATAATTTTTTTAGTCAGAGGAACTACCTGTCGAATCTAGTCAACAGCATTATCTGGTCATGAACTTCGCAACTAAATTTTAAAAGTAGCGAGAATAAATAATAAGTTTTCTAAACAGAACCCATCAAACCAAACGTTTCTATTTTATTCCGTTTTCTCCTTCATCGGAATTTCAAAATATCATTATTTATCAAAACACTTGTCTTTTGGGGTAATAAAGCTTCAACATTATCATTTCTTGAAACATAATTAGATCTTCAACATGAAAGCTAACTATAAAATAAATCTGTTAGATGGCTATATTATTATTATAAGTTTAAATAAATTAACCGGTCTATAGAAAGAAACTGCGGGTAATAATGGGTTAAACTTTAAAAATTATTTGATTTTTTTCTCAAAATTTTTTTTCAGAAATCCACCAATTCATTTCTAAACTATGTCTGTTTTTAAGTTATTAACTATCCGGTGTGATTTCGTTAACCGATCTTAACAATTTGTTTTCAACTGACTAAGCGTAAGATCAATTTATGCTTTCTGTCAAAGTCTTGGCGGGCTTAGAATTGTTATGTTACGTCAAGTCACCACAAATTTAATTACAAAGTTTGAATGTGGAAAGGAGAAAGCCTTTGGATTTGTAGTTAGGATTAATGGTAAGTATGAGGTTCAACAGCCGACAGTCCAAGAAACAAGGCATATTCTTAACAATGATGCGATGGCAATATGATATTCTTCACGTAATTCTTAATAATGATGCGTTCGACTACTATGTAATATTTCTCATGCAATCTCTGGTAATATGAATAAAATATCCAAGAAGCGAAACTGATTACTTATATATGAATAGGATATTCGTTGAATTATTTATTTTATTGATATAATTCATGAGCGGAAATAAGAGTATTTTCATAAGCATACAGTTTATTTTCTGTTTTACCATTAATTCTAAATTTATGGAAAAGAGGAAATTTATTCAATAAGATATTCAGCGGAATCTTAAAATCAAATCGACTGATTTTGCTTTTTCTTTCAAGCTGCTCACAAATAGATTTCCAACAATATTTTCTATGCAATACATTGATTTTCTTTAAAATTGAAAATGATGAATAGATATTGTTCTTTAGATATTGTTCTATAGTTTCTTAATCACTTCTTTTTGCCTATAATCTATATTTAAGTATTTAGCCTGCATATTAGTCCAATGTTGACAGATGATGTTTATGGTGTTTGATGCTGTTATTTTATGGGTAACTCATACCATATTTCCGTTTCAAATTTGCTGCAATTTTTATAAGATATTGATGTGAACCAGGATTCTGTTTATTCCTTTGGCGCAGATGGAACACCAGAGTTCCTTTAATGTATATAGTTTCAGACATTGAAAAGTTTTATGGTATTAAAGCGGATTTAGTTATATCGATATAGTTTCCAGTTTCGTAAAATTTAAGCCTAATCATTCCGTTTAGTTACCATTGAAATTTATACTATAATTTAAAAAAAAATAATTCTTATTTTAATTTTGATTAACGTAACTTTTGGCGTAAACGGAACACCGATGTTCTTTTTATCTATATTTTCAAACGCTCTTATTCTAGAAAAGATATATATTATTATTTTTCAATTATAAAAAACAGTCTAATTGGTTACTGAAAATCTGTTATATTATCGGAATTATATTTGAACTGAAATATAAAATCCCTCCCTCCCAAACAAAAAAAAAGTAGTTAGAATTTTTTTTTTCTTTCATATTCAAAAATCAAACAAAAATAGATTTTGTAAACTAAATAAATTTCAATGCTGAATAACTGTTACTCTTAGATCTAATTAACTGCAAATTTGAAAACAAATTGTTTACAAGTGAGCCTTGTTTGAAAGATTTTACCTTTAATTCAGAAAAAAAACAACGTCATGCTAAATTTCCTAACCGTAAATTATTAAAATGCTAAATTTAATTTTTTTAAATCTTTTTGACCTAAATTAATACAAAGTAATGAAAAATAAGTATGAAAAATATTTTTAATAAAAATTCTGCATCAAAGGGTTGAATTTAACTATGGAATGGTATATTCAAGTTTTAGAAGTACAGTATTATGGTTCTTCTTATTCAGAATATAGAACATTTAAACGGTCTTATTAACCTTTTCATTTTTAATAGTGTTTCGGTCTGCGTTTTTTTTGTTGTATTTTTTCATCAAAAACAAGAAAAATACGAAAATGTAGTTTATTTTCAAGTTGACATTGCTTGTCCTATTCCTGTAACAAACAGTGGACGAAATTCTCTCTTTGTGTGTGCGTGTGTATGTATATATATATATACTTTTTAAATATAATTTTTATTAAGTATATTTAATAATACCGTAAACCGGGGCGAGTCTACCCATTTTTTCAGTTTGTCAACTTTCAAGTGGTCAAACTTTTGTAAATATTAAAGAAAAAAGGCTTTTAATAGGTGTTTCGGAATCGCTATTTATCCGTCTTTAAAGCTGTGAAATCGATTTTAGAAAATATTAACAGTTACGCTGTTACTGTATATTTTTATAGAACTGCTGATAAATCTCTCGTATGGGGCGAGTCTATCCATTCTACTAAGATGAATATTAACATTGTAAATAATCAAATTTTACTATTAAATTGTTATTTTAGTTACTATATAGGATATTTATGAAGTAAAATTCATAACTTTATTATATATTCCATTTTTTTATTCATAAAATAACACAAATTGAGTATTTGATCGATTATCACATTTTGATCACAGTTTTGTTTTTATAATCATTAACATTATAAAATAACATTTTTTTCTGATTATTGTTGATAAAAATAAATTAAAATTAATATAAATTTACAATTAAATAATTAA